GTTAAGAATTAGCCTTTTAGATCCTAATTGTCTGGCAACAGTGACCATGAGGAAACATTAAAGGCCTCTCCTCCCTCACCTAGTTAAACTTTGTCTACTTGCTCCAGGAACTGTGATCATTGAATTTTATGATTATGACTTTTTAAGAACATTTTGGTTCATGTTGGGAAAATAGTCATGTATTTGATATTTTTTGAAGTGCAAATATAGATGATGTAATCATTGTTGTAGGATATAAAAATAAACTCTGTGGCTCTGGGAAGAGCGAGACATATATTCTCTTCCATACACTACTTCCCAAGTACAATATCAAATAAAATATTCCTAAAGGCTCAGACAAGATTCAAACAGCTGTCCAGCACAAGTTCTTTATGTTGCCTGCTCCATCCACCCTTCTCCAGTCCTGATCACTGCTGCAACTGGTCCGCAGCATAAGTGGTGCCTGAACAGGAAACCTGAAGTAGGATAAGTATTAATAAGGTGTTTCTGGTATAGAGAGAATCCCACAAGGGTGCTGCAGACTCCCTGTCAAAGAGTTGGGATGGTGAGATTTGGTAATATGAAAGAATTAATAAAGATCTCCTGGTCATCGAATAGGGCTTAGGAGAGTATATAAGAGAAAAGAAAAAATAATGCAATGGGACAGGTGGTGTCTAAGGAAAAGAGGCTTTTTTGTTGATATTTTAAAACATACTTGAAAGAGAAGGGAATAAAAGTTAATGACAATCAAGTTTGTGAGTTTTTACAGATTGTTCATGAGATTTCTCCTTGGTTTCCGGATCAAGGCTCCCTAGATATTGGTAATTGCAATAAAGTAGGAGAAGATATTAGATTTTGGTAAGAATCCAATGGGCTACAAGGCATATCTGTAAATGCTTTGACTTATTGGTCATTAAGCAAGCAGGCTTTGGCTCCAATGGAAGATGGGGATTTAACTAAATGTAAAAAGATCTACAGAAACCTCTCCTTAAAATAAATCAATTGCTCCTCTTCTTTTTAAAGATCCATTAGAAAAGGAGGTTAGTAATGAGGAGAAAAGAGATAAGAAGAATGAGGAGTCTTTTCAAATAGAAAGTGATGGAGAGGAAGAGGAAATTAATAGTTTTAAGGAGGATTGGAAACCTCAGTATCTCTTTTTCAAACAAAACCTAAAAAGAGTTCAAAAATGTAAAAGGAGCCTGAATGTTTCTGGCTGCAGTTACAGGAGTTGGTAGAGCTGGGGACCTTTGGTTAGGTGTAATCTAGTAATGTTTAATACAAATATTCAAGAGGTGCATATTTTTGAGCTCCTTATGAAATTTTATATAGTGAATCCATTGGTTCTTTATATATTTTTGAGACTAACAGTGGTTCATTTAAAATAATTTGTAATCATTGTGTTCTTTCTAATTGCATTTCTTCTATATTATTAAATTTTTTTTATTCACTTTACATACCAAACACAGATTCCCCCCTCCTCCCTCTTCCCGCCACCCAGCTGTCTCTCCCTAACAATCCCCCAATCCAACCTCCTCCAAGTCAAGGTCTCCCATGGGGAGTCAGCAAAGTTCAGTTGAGACAGGTCCAAAATGTATTTCTTCTAATGTAACAGATGAGGCTTTTGTTACATTAGGCCAATCATTTTATATTTTACTTCATGTTAATAATCCTGGAGATTGGTATGCTAATCCTGGTTTACAGGTTATGAATAATGTTGTACATTCTTTGTGCAGAGGTAAATGTTGTGTGGTAACTTTAATTTTAGGAGTTACTGCATTAATTGCTATTGCAGCTAGTTTTGTTTTTTTTCTACTGCTACTTTGGTTAAACAAATTTATGCAGCTCAACATGTGAATCAATTATCAAAAAATATTTCTATTGCCATTATATTTCAGGAGCACATGAATAGAGGTATTCAGGAAAGACTTCGTGCTTTGGAAGAAGCAGTACTTCATATAGGATATCAAAGTCAAAATATTAAGGTTAGATTATTAATAGAATGTCACTCAAAATTCCACTGGATTTGTGTTACTCCTTTATCATACAATGCTTCAGAACATTCTTGGGACAGGATTCAAGCTCACCTTAAGGGAGTTTGGGATTATTCAAACTTTTCTTTGGATTTTTGTAATCTACCTCAAAAAAATTCAGCAACAAGTAAAAAATATTGATTCTTCCAAGGTGTGAAAAGTCTCAACTTCTTTCCTTAAGGCTATTGAGGAATATATAGGTTCCACTACTGTTTGGGCACAGTTTTAATAATTTGGTATTGATAATTTTTGTGTTCTTACTTATTGTCTTTCTTTTCCCAGTCATCTTACAATGACTAGCATGAGGCATAATTTGAAATGGATCAACTGAAAAATAAGAAGGGGGAAGATGGTGGCTCCACTCACCATTTGCTGAATACAATGTATGACTGTTGTGTGGCTACGGAGACTGCGTGACAAAGTTCCAGTTCTCATCACTTAGCTAAGGAGACTGTACAACTGTTGTTTGGCTAGAAACTGTGTGACAAAGTCCAGTTTCTGGTTGAGTGGATACAGCCCCACTTCCTCCTTTAGTTTTATTACTTAAAAAATAAAATCATTTTATAGTGATTTTAGTATTCACTGACTTGTTCCATTTGCCCTCAAATTATCGATGGTCTGATATGGTCTGGGAAAAGAAATAAGATGAATAAAATTTATTGAAAAAGTAATATAATACCTATGCATTTGAAAGCATTAATATTGATGAGGTGGCTGAACAGTATGTTTTTACAAAAAAGTGGAGATATAGATGAAGACCAAGATTGGGAAAGTACAAAAAAAGCACAAATAAGTTTGGGATTATATTCTGCCTATTTTGTAGTGAAGATATTAATGCTTTTGTAGATATAAAATGAAAATTTCAAAAATAAGAATCAAGAAAAAGGATATGATTTCACATTATGAGTTAATCATTAGAAGATTATAAAAATAAGAACGATAGGAATGTTGTAAAAATTATATAGATATATAAATTAGGATATATATGCATATATAAAGGTTTAAAATAGATTACAGTATAGTTTGATAAGAACTTTTGGTTTGCTTATTTTAAGTTAAGAATTAGGCTTTAAGATTCTAATTGTCTGGGAATAGTAATAATGAGGAAACATTAAAGGCCTCTCCTACCCAGCCTAGTTAAACTCTGTCTACTTGTTCCAGGAACTGTGATCATTGAATTTTATGATTATGCCTTTTAAAGAATGTTGTGGTTCATGTTGGGAAAATAGTCATGTAGTAGATATTTTTTGCAATGCAATATAAAATGATGTAATGATTGTTGTAGGACATAAAACATTCTCTGAGGCTCTGGGATAGAATTATACAAATACTCTTTTCTATACATTCTCTCCTGAGCACTTCTCTCCTGAGCACAGTATCAAATAAAATATTCCTAGAGCCTCAGAAAAAATTCAAACTGTTGTCTGGTGCAATGTTTTTGTATTGCCTGCTGCATCCACCCATCTCCAATCTGATCTTTGCTTAAGCTGGTCCCCAGCAGGGCATGTATAAGCCTTATTCATAGCACAGAAGTTCTGAACAATTTGAACATTGGTGCTTTTTCGAAGTAGGAATTACACTGGTTTGTAATAATAATAGAGTAGGAAGAGCTTAAAATATCCAACAAGGGTTTATCATATCATAGTAGTTCCCTGCTGTGGTAGTAGTTGGATGCTTTTGCTACTCCTGAAAGGACAAAGGAAGAATTCCTAACAAATTTCTAGAATTTGAAGAGAGGACCTCCATGGATTAGAGTGTGGCAGGGGAGAAAATGCTAATCGCCCAGAGCACTCATAGGTGCATGCTTTGGAGAGCTTCACTTAGGCACTTTGAATTATTCCATATTGCACCAGCTGGCAGCAGGCTTCTTGAATTGATTTTATTATCATTTTGATGATATAAATAGTATGTACTCCTAGTTATATTGATGGTAAATTCTAGAAATGGATCTCATTACTTCCCCCATACCTTCTGTGTTACTCAGAACTCCTTGTATTAAACATTTAAATGAAGATCTTTTTTCTCTTCTTTGTTTTCTAGACATGAAATTATCCCCATTGTTGTTGTTCCTGGCTGCTTTGTTATCCCCATCCATTCTTAACAATGACTCTGACACATGGGTAAGGTTTAGTATCTTATCAGAACAATTTAGGTAACAATGAAGGCAAGGGAAGCCATTTGATCACTCTTCAAAACTGTAAAAGGCCAGAGTGTGGAATAAGTCACTTTGATCCTCAGCAATACACACACACACACACACACACACACACACACACACACACACACACACACCAAAGAGTGGTTAAGTATATCTACTATGCAAACAATACATATGATATGAGCCAAATATTTATTATAAAATACCTTCTTATGCTTAGACAATCCCAGAGGAGGGACAGTCACCTTATTTAATGATGGAATTTGTAGTACCAGCAAATACTCTCCCCTTAGTTAGAAAGCTACTAAAGTTAGAAGCATTGTGCATTGCTGAAGACTTCATTCTCTTCATTGGCTTCTGCTTTGAAGACTACTAGAATTCTTCAGGAGTGGGGAGTGCCAACATCTAGTTAAGCCTGTTTTGGAATATAAATTATAAGTCTTTTGTTACCATAATCATATTAGTAATCTGGAGACAATTATCTATGTGTTCTTTCAAGTTGTTTGCATTCCCAGTTTCTTTCCTAAAAAGATTGTATTATGTGGCACTTTTTAACTATTCTCCTTCCCTTCATTCCTTCCCCCTCTCTTCTCTCTTTGAACTATTGATACTTCTTTATAAAAGGGTCTACACATTATCTCACAGGCTTTCAAACTCCTAGTCAGATGGCTACTGCCTCTTAATGTCTATAGTAAATTATATGTCTTCATCCTTAGTACTTCCTTGCTACAGCCTAACTGGGTGTGAATGACTTAAGGTTCTCTACTTTGCATGGCTATTATTAGAGATCTCTCTTGAATCAAAATTGACATTTGTAGCTTCATAACAGTTTTTACTTTGACATGCCATTAATTAATTTTATTCTCAAAATTTCTATTTAAAATGTTTCTAATGAAAAGGTATAGATTTTCTTAAATTTATTATCAAGGATTAATGACTATCATTGGCCTCAGTATTTTAAAATTAAATTAATTTCACCTTCAAAAAAAGTATTCACTTTTTTATGCAGCCTTAACATACACTAACATGACTTTAATGCTATTTCATTTCAGAATATGGAAATTGAGCATTTGCAAACCACCAGAAAGTCAGTCCAAGAAGAGATTGTAAAGAAGCACAACCAACTGAGAAGAATGGTTTCTCCACCTGGTAGTGACTTACTAAATATGGTGAGGGCTCACAACAGGACAGTGCATTTGGAGAGCTGTGTTTGGAGCCTGTAGTTAGCATCTGGCTTCCACTGTGTACTTTAAGAGGGTCTGGCTCTGTTTTAGCTTCTAGTTTTAAAAAAAAGTATTCATTGTTTTGTTCATGTGCATGTGTGGTGGCTGTGTGTCCATATATTATTATCACGTGCAAAGAAATCTGAGTTGGTTCTCTACTTCTATGTGTTTAGTTGTGCAATGATCAGAGTAGAATTCATTAAATACCTTTTATAACAGTGACTCATTGGTATTATGGAGCTATGTCAATTATAGTAGCTCAACTACAAACAGATCTTTTGACTTTGGTCTTCAGTGAAAAGCTTCTATGTTATTTTGGTTTACTCTTTTCTCCTAATCTAGGGTCAGAATATTTCTCCTTTAAGGGCCAATGACCTTCATCTAAATATTCTACTCTTTGGATCCGGAACCAAAGACCATGTGTGTCTTAAATTCATTTAATGAAGGGAAAAATGAAGCTAGGATTTATGAGGCAACTCCTTACAGCTGTAAAAATAGTCTTCGTACTTTAATATGGCTAGTGCTACTCACTCTACAGCAATTACTCTGTCTTTAATGATTCCTGTTGTGATTTCAGTAAGTCATTAGACCATTAAAGGTTTTAGTACTTTTTGTGGCCTTGGGAAGACAGACTGCTTGTAATTATTTGATACAGAAGGCCATAGATAAGAGGGTGTAACTATGGACATAGTTTATGAAACTAGTAAGAAGATTAAGATTGTGGGGGGAGACCTATAGAAGGCATGGTAAGTGGAAGGAATTAAAACATTTGTGATATCAAATGGAGGCTGTGGGTGAGAGGGCATGCATAGGAGAATGAGCAGGATCAGGAAGATGGCGTGGAAAATATGCAAAAATAAACTTATTTATAAATACCACCATGAACACTGATAATATATTTGCTAACATAAAAATGTAGACATATACTATATTATAAATTGATTGTGAAGAAAATCAGAAGGCACGTACAGAAATTTTGCATTATCAGTCTGTCTGCAAAAATCATGTGACTTTGAGGTTTGAGTTATTCCATGACTATCTTCTTTCCTTTTCCTTTTAGAAATGGGACAATTATTATCAACTTTTAGCACAGATGACTGCACACACTTGCACGCTCTTTGACAATCGTGGAGAATTCTGGACCAAAAGTATGTAAACTCGGTGTCACTTACAAATGAATGGAGAGTCACACAGAAAAGCCCATTTTCTCATACCGTGATTACAAATTGTTGTAAATAAATACTTATTCTGATGCTGTTTTTTTTTTCAAGTTAAATATCTCTGGGGCAGAGATGGATCTGAAAGTCTCTACTTCGTGCTAATTGAATGCTTTATATTTTACACATACTGTCTTTCTTCATGCCAGCTTTTTGCCTTGCAACCAGTTTATAATTGAAGCAAGGTATGGATTATCTCTTTCTCTGATTTGAAGATTAGAAACTCATGTCTGGATGAAAATCATTACTAATTAAGACCTTATAAAAGAAATGTGAAATTAGAATCTCTTTTTTATTTTATCCTACTATGGTTTTATTTATGTGTTTGTGTGTCTCTGTGTATTTATGCATGTGTGCATGTATGTATGGATGCTTCTAGAGGCCAGAAGAAGGCACCACACCCTCTGGAATTTACAATTTACAGGTGTTTTGTAACAGTGTTGTCACAGGTGGTGGCAAAATACATTATATGGAAATTAGGAGTTGGATTCAAGTCTGTTGAAATAGCAAGGTATACTCTTACATGCTCAGCCATTTCTCCAGCACTATGAAATTAAAATTTCTCTCTTTAACCCAATATTTAATGATGTGGCTTGTTCTGTTTTCAAGCTATCTTTTTAATTATAAAAATATATTTAATTTGATCAACTAATTCTTCATTTTTCTCAGAAAATATCAAATATCAATTAGGCATTTATATTTACTATTTCCTTTATTACTTTTGGTGGGGAGGAGAAAGGTCTCACTGTATATCTTCAGTTTTCTGATCTCCAACCTCAGCTTCCTAATTACTGGGTTTTGTTGTGTATGCTACCATTGTGTGTGCACCCAACTCTCCCTTCATTTTTTGTGAGATCAACTTATAAATGTCTGGAAAATCATATAATGTTAAATTAAAAATAAACTATGAAACAATATTTACACAAGGAGGCATAAAACTAATAACAAAATTAATTAATGGATCATGAGATAAAATATTTTTCAAAACATTAAAAATGATCACCTTTGGCCCAATTTAAACCTAATAAATTCATAATTTCTTTTAAAAGTTTTACTTCTTAGACATTTCTAATTTAATAATATAATGAGTAAAAGTGAATTTAAAAGGATACAATATTCCGTAAAGTTTAAAGTAATTTTTTATTTACACACCTTGATAAAAATACTAACCTATTTCTGAGGGTTCCCATTCTCTGAAAAAAAAAATCTGGCCCATGAGGTTTTAATTTTCTAGTTTAGACACTCATGCCTATATACCCCTCTGACCCCTGCCATCTTACTCGCCCCCCCCCAGCTATATCACTTCCTCCAGACTTCTATGGTTAACTTGTGCTGGGTTTAAAGGTGAGTGTCACCATGCCAGGCTCTGTTCCCAATGTGGCCTTGAAGTCACAGAGATCTGGATGACTCTCTGCCTCCTGAATGCTAGGATTAAAGGCATGTGCTACCACTGCCTGGCCTCTATGTTTACATAGTGGCTAGCTTTTTCCTATCATCTCCAGGCAAGCTTTATTTATTAGAGCACAAATAAAATATCACCACACATGACCTATAAACTTTGAAGTTATAATCCCTTCTGTTTTGTTTGCTTTGTACTTGTAGTTTTTAATGAATGACTGTAAAAAAAAGGCTCACATAGAACAAAAATCCTAAATATGTAAAATTGGTATAAAAAATCTATAGCTTCTTAGGAGAGAAATGAAATGAGTTCATCTTGGTCTTCTTTAAGACTGCAAATCCACATTTGGTACACATGAGGCACAGGCATGCACACACACACATACACATGTGCACACAGGTGTGGAGAATTTAATGTGTGGAAGAATGAGGTTGAGGAGAGTAACTACTGAAGAAAAACCTTCTCTATCTACTTAGTGCTCATGGTGTTTAGCACACACATGTTGAATACCTATGGCTACTGTTCAGCTAAAGGTTCCTCAGGTCTAAATCATGCTTCTTATGCAATATTCACAAGGAAGTATGAGCAATGTGTTTAAAAAGCAGAGATTCTGAGTGCGTGTGTGTGTGTGTGTGTGTGTGTGTGTGTGTGTGTGTGTGTGTGTTTCTCTTTTTTCTTTATTGCTGTCTTTGTGAGTGGTCTTTTTCCTTAGACAGAAGATGTGGTGAGAATTTCTTCGTGTCACAGTACCCAGTATCATGGTCCTGTGCAATCCAAAGCTGGTATGATGAATCCATAGATTACAGGGTTGGTTCAGACTCATTTCCAGATGGTTATACTCAGGTAAGAAAATATTCTGTCTGTAAGTGCTAGGGAAGAAAATATTTTTAATTACTTGACTGATTGCAATCAAGAGTTTCGGTACAAAACGTTTTTATTTTCTTTTTGAGACATGGTCTCACTAAGTAGCTCAGAATGGCTTTCTTTGAACTTGCTGTCATCCTATCACATTCTCCCAATTTCAGGGAGTATAGAGAGAATGCACACCAACTGTACACCTTGGGGAAGCTCTTGAGTGGTTTGGTATACATTAGTCTTGACACTCATTGGCTATTTCAGCTGCCATCTTTAAATGGGATCAAAATGAAGACCCTGACATTAATCCATACACATATGAACATATGATTTTCAACAAAGAAGCCAAAACTATACCATGGAAAAATGAAAGCATCTTCAACAAATGGTGCTGTCATAACTGGATGTCAACATGCAGAAGATTGCAAATAGATCCATATCTGTCACCATGCACAAAACTCAAGTCCAAATGGATCAAAGACCTCAACATAAATCCAGTTACACTGAACTTGATAGAACAGAAAATAGGAAGTAGTCTGGAACACATTGGCACAGGAGACCACTTCCTAAATATAACACCAGTAGCACAGACACTGAGAGTGACAATTAATAAATGGGACCTCCTGAAAATGAGAAGCTTTTGTAGAGCAAAGGACATGGTGAATAAAACAAAATGGCAGTCTAGAGAATAGGAAAAAATCTCCACCAACCCCACATCGGACAGAGTGCTGTTCTCCAAAATATATAAGAACTCAAAAAGCTAGATTTTAAAACAATCCAATTAAAAAATGGGCTACAGAGCCTAACAGAGAATTCTCAACAGAATAATTTTAAGGGAACATACTTGATTTTTTTTTTTTTTTGCTAACCATAATTTTTTGACTCAAGTCCCCAAACAAGGGTAATGGCCTATATTCTAAGGCACCTTCACAGACTGTAGCAGGGCTGTACATCAGTTCTGTATGGCTCCTGAGTGAAAAGGGGAAAGATGTTTCCTGGAATTTTATTACCAGAAACACTGACAGATAGGTTGCTGCCGGATCTAAAGGCCCGGACCTTGGGCCTTTTCATTTCAAATACTATGACTCTTTTTAGCAAGAATTATAAGATTGTGTCTCCATCCTGTCCACTGTCAAAGAGGGCCTTCCAAAACTAAGAAGAGGGTTATGTGGGGATCCTGCTTGGTTCTGTAGAGAAAACATCCAGTTGTGGTACAGGCATGGGGCAACTCTGAATCCCTGGCATGATCAGATCCTGCAGTCTGAGAGACTTGAGCTGAAACACAGTTTCAGGGGGGAACTAGGATATCCAAGGCCAGAGGTCCACACAGAAACACCTACCACATACAGCTTATAGGAAATATGCTGAGTGTCGGCCTTCCATCAGGGTGAACCAGTAAGGCTTGCAAGCCACTCATGATCCCTGCCCACACAGAAAAGAAGATACTTATGATCACAGCTTAGAGTATCAAACTAAATAGTCTCTTCTGTGATACTGGGAGGAAGTTCTAGTTCATCTTCCAAGGCCAAGGCTGTATGAACACAGGACACTTGATTTTGCCAAAACACTTCAGAGTATTCACCAGCAACATCTTGGTCAGTTTGATGTCTGACTAGGAATTGACCTGATATCCAGGTTACTCTCTTACTGTTTATGGTCACATGCCAGTGGAGTTGGATGCAGTTTCAGTGAAGTTATACATCATACCAGGGTCCTCCTGATGGCCATAGATTCTTTGATGCCTTTTATTTTGACACAAAGCTTTTTGGCCTTAGACAAGCCGTCTGCATCCTCATCATCTTGGAACCTGTCAAAGACAACAATGAAAAAGAAAGCTTCTCTGAGATGGGGCTGAAGCTACTGTCAGCCACTATAAAAACACCACTCAGTGTTTCCCGAAAGTTTTGCCAGACTAGCTGACCAACAGCAGCCTCTTAGGGATGTTCTAACATCTGTAGTTTGATACAACCACTTAAATATATTTATAAGGCATATAGAAACAAAGTATACCAGTGGTATTTTTAATTTTATATTTGTTTTTCTGCATTATTTTCCTCTCTTACCTGTGCCTTGTCTTTGTCTCTGGGTTTATAGATTGTTAGGAGTTCATCTTACAAAGTTGCATGTGGAGTTGCTAAGTGCCGTGACCAATCATACAAATTCATGTACTATTGTAGCTACTGTCCTCTGTAAGTATCCACTTCAAAGTTCATTTTCAACATATCAAATGTCATTTAACATTTTAAAATTATCATAGTGTAATTACAAATTAAAGGTATATTTTTACATGGAGAGGGCAATAAAACTTCTATATATTTCCTAGAGTTGAAACTTATTTAATTAAATCTTTGAAATGTCCATCTCATCAGTTCCATGAATCACACTCAGAAGCATTGTCCTAATCTTTAAAAATGATTTCTCTTTCCTCCTCCATTGCTGTTTTCTGGACTAATGGTGACCTCATGAGGACCCAAGTATAAGGATTGTGAATTCCTATTGTCTGTTCATGCTATGTTTGTAGACTACAAAGCAAACTTTCAATAGTAGACCAGGAGTGAACATGAGTGAATGACACAGGTTAGTGATTGT